AATAACAAACTTTCACCAATATGAAAATCGGGGTACGACGAGAATAATGCCAGATTCCTTCGCGCCACTCGGTGTAGAAGTAGATTATCCGCGCTTTAATTACAATTTATAAGGCTACTTTAAAGCAGTTACATAATAATCGACAACTCCGTTTGCTCGCATTCGCCTAATCGATCGTAACTACTATATGTATACTCGGTGTGATGCAATAGTTCATAATAGTAATGGTAATTAGTAGCAATAGTAGTATAATAATAATAGTAATAATAACATCATTATTGTTATCCTCACTGTTCCTCTGTTAAACATTATCTGTATGTAGGTTATCCACGTTATTTATTTATTCGATCCTCTTCTTATCTTTTCTTTCTCTCTTTTTGTGTGTTTTATGGCTAGGAAGTGTTTGCCGATCGACAGAAACAACCATTTTTGTTCGCGCTGTCGCTGCCGCCGGCTCCGTTGCTGCATCAGTCCTCTGTTAAGTGTTCGATCTTTAGTAACGTCGATGTCGTTGACAACGATTATGGTCCAATATATCGATACCGATTTTCGCGCGGAGAACGTCGCCACATTGTTTCCTTCCGCTCGAGCTATCGAACTGTCGACGCTTTCTTTTACGAATCGAGAAGCTAAATGTCCATCTCAAGTTGTCCCAAAGAAACAGGATATGTTAGGACAGGACAACCCCTTGTTGTCTCGATTGGTTGATATTGCGATTGGGATACTTTAGTTGCGTATGTGAAATTTTCTCGAACTCGTTGTAAGACAATGGACGAAACTGACTTGACAGTTCTTATGAGAAGTTGTATTTAATATCCGTTAAGTATGCAAAAAAAATCAACTAACTTTTTTAAAGTATCGTAAACGTTCAAAATTGACTCGATCAGGTTGAAACTGTGATTGGAGTATCTTAATTACATATGTGTGATACTTCTCCATATTGATCTTGTAAGACAATAAAACTGACTTCTGAACAGCTTTTGTGGAAAGATGCGTTTGATGTCCGCTAGAGATATCCAAAAAACCATCTAACCCTTTTAAAGTGTCGTAAACGTCCAAAAATGTACAACGAAAAGGAATTAACTTCTAATAGATGCTCGTTTTATTGAAAAAGCTTAATGTATTTTCTCTGTAGGTAACACATTTCTCATTTATCAGAAGTAATAATTTATTTTTTATATCTCGAGATTAACGTCTCATCCTTATTTCTTTCCGGAAAATATCTTTATATGTACGTGAAATGGCGAAATATTTTTGCGAACAATGCAGAACGGAGTTTGAATTTCTTACTGCGTGCTTCCTCCTTTTAATGTAAGAAAGTTTATCATTCAAACGATAATCGGCTTACTAGATAAAAAGATAAAAAACGGGATCGCCGAAAGGTCAAACTCTTTTTCATCATAGTGAATTTTTCTTCCTAATAGAAGAAGCTTATATTGATACGATCGCCAGTACAATCTATAACATCACATCTACAACGTCAAAAAAGATCATAAGGGTTTAACTGTTTTAAAAAGAATTGCCCATGAAAAAGCAATGTTCCCGAACGATATTGGCATCCTGACACCTTCGGGCATCAATAACTCATTAAAGCGCACGGGCAACATTAGTTGTTATAACTCTCCTTGCCATTTTTAACTTTATTCTTCAAATATTCAAGATATTAAAAAATTAAAAAATTTATTATAAATCAAATGAGTTATGAACTCCGCTTTTTAAAGATTTTTCAATATAAATGTGATTAATCTTTTTTTTATAAAATAACTTTATGTCTATTTAAAAGTGTTCCAAGCATTGTATATTTATATATATATAAATTGTTCAAATTTATTATTAAAACCTTCTTTCGAATCATTCATATTTTCGATAATTTCACGTAAAATCGCCAAGAGCCATACGCGCTTTAATAATAATTTAATGGTTTAATAAACAATTACGAAGCGGGTATTCTTCCATGCGGCTTCAAAAATAATAATAATATAATGAAAAGAGAGAGCGCATGATACGCCGAAATATTTATGAAACTCAAACACATTGTACGACGTTCGTACGAAATATTGATATATCGGCACCTGTACTCTTCAGCCGTAGCTTTTTCGTCCCACCAGACCTCCGGTTGTCCCGATGTTATTAAACTCGCATGTACGAGGCCGGTGGGTGGACGGAAGAAGCGACGGAAGAAGCGTCGATAAAACTCCCGCCGAAAAATAGGACGTCGAAACTTTTTGAATAAATTCAATCCTCCGTCGCGCGCGAAGCCGTCCCTCGTCAGGGAATTGACCGGAGAGACCTCGGAGGAGAAAAAATCATGATACAGAGAAAGATGTAAGGCTCTCGTATCTGCTCTTTCTTTTATTTGGATTTTTTTCTACCAGAGGATTTTTCCACGAAGAAAATATTTTAAAAATCTTGCTTTTCCTTGGTATTTTTTTTTTTAAATTAAAATGGTGATATTTTCTCTTAAAAATAAATCCAACGTGATATCATTCTCTCATCTAAGAGTCCGTTTTTTCAAGCAAAAATTCTATGGATCGTAGACGATTAGTTTGTGATAGTTATAAATAATTACACTGTAAAAAATGCAGTCTGATAAACGGCAGAGAAAAAAGCTGATCACGCATCACATGAGGGAAATCTTGCTTAAATGTGTGTCTGCAAAGTCGGATTGCACGAAAGCTACCGTGAAAGCGGATAAGCGCGGTACAATGATGATGGTGGCGACTATTTTCGGATACTTTCCGTCGTTCTCGAATCGCGGGTTGTGCAAGTGTTAAATACATATCGTCGCTATTACCCCAATTATTTCATTGTCGAAAAATCGCGTGCGAAGCTTCCGGAGTTTTTCCGGAGCTTCGGAGCATTGGGGATCAGATATTTTTTTAATAAAATTCCACACACGAACTTTTTGTTACCGGAATAATAAAAAAAAATTATAACGAATTCGTCATTGATAACGATATGTTTTATGCGAAACGTCACCTCATTTTGCCATAGACGAGTTCTCGATTCTAAACGGGACGAGATTTTTTCCAAACGAACTTTCAATCAAATTCGATCGAGAGAACTTTACTGTCGAGGGCAGTCGATCCGTAAAAGTATGCGGAAGCGTGCGAATTTAATAGAGCGAACGGAGGAGGAGAAGTTGGCGTGATAACGCATCAAATTTAACGAGCCGATTTCTCCGCGTCACTTAACTCAGCTCGAGTTTAGCAAGTGCATTCAGCATTCACTGAATTGAGTCGGTCGTGATTGTACGATGTGGATACCGTCACGCGAAATGGAAGGCGACAGTATGAATCGGTTAGACGTGACATTTAACCAAAGACTAAATGCTTGGGAATAATTGCGATGTAGCAATTATTACGTGTGTATTGTTAATAAATTTGTTAGATTTTCTTAAGCACCATCCGTAAGATCTTCCTCGATAAACCGAATTCTTTGGAAACAGAATAATTATTTTCAATGTTGGATTTATCTTTTAATATTATAGTCCCTATAAAAGAAAAAAATATTTAAAAAACAAACTGTTTAAAAAATGTACAACGAGCATCTTAAAGAGTGACTTTGTGAACAGTAAATATATATCTATTATTATACAAACAACAAATATATTTTATATAATATCAACTTTTAAGAAATGTTGCCTCAGCGTTTAATATAAATTACTCAATCCATTGGCAATTGATAATAACAACAGGAATAACGCAATTAGCATCAATGCTAATTTCCACAGCTAATGATCTGTTTTGCAACTGATAAAGTCAACAGAATTCTATTTCAAGAGACATTATGCATTGCAACGTTCGCTGATTATCACGAGTTTCAACTTCATTTCGATTAAACGTGTTCAGAGTAACGATATCTAAAAGCAGAAAGCACGCGGTAATCGTCGCGAAAGGGAAGATATGTGATACTTGATTATCAATGTTGAAGTTTTTTATTGGATCTTTTTGAAAGGATCGAAGAACCAAAGGACAACTCTCGATGTATAGATTCGCATGTAGAAAGCCTCGATCGTGTTCGGCGCAAATGTCCGAGATGCAAGAGAGAAGGTGCAACGTTCCCCTCCCACCTCCCTCCCCAAGTACAAGTTTTTATGATTGAAGTTTTGTGAAGGGTGGCGTGTGACGTCCGCAGCGCGGGTCCATCGTCTTGCAGGACGATACGTATTAGCCACGAAGGCTTCGGCACACCACGAAGACCGCCAGCGAGATCGCTAGGACGAAGTACGTGCTGCTCGACGATGTCAACGACGGCCCGGAATTGCAACCATCCTGCTGGCAACAGTACGTCCTCGTGCTCCAGGCCTCTGAAACAGCCGATTCAGCAACTTGATCTGACTTGATTAAAGGTGTCCTCGACGTTCAAATCTTATCCACATTTTTATTTCAATATTTACTTTGTGTGTTATTCAATATTGACTTTGTGATTACAGAGAAAAATGATCACTTTGTCTTAACTCGAAGATAAAATTCTAAAGGTAGCTTTTAATTAAGATGATTATAGAATTCATTTCAAAGAGAGAGAGGAGGGATTTATCAATTTCTGTTATCATATAAACAGCATTTTTTTGCGTCAAAAAATTACTGGTTTTGGATATTTTAGAATGTTACATTTCTAATTTCAAATGAAAAAAAAAGTATATTTATTTTAATATAATCATTAAAAATAAAATGTGTAATTTATTAATGTTATTATTATCACATATCAAATATTCATGATTTCCCTAGCAGAAAATTTAAAAAGATTCAGGAAAGAGCGCGATTCAAGAAAGGCCTCCTAATATGAGAAATTTGCGAAATATATATTAAAAAATCAAAATGTGATATTAAAGTAAAAAAGGAATAATGAATGAAAGACAAAGATATCATTAAATAAAATTTATAAAATTAAAGAATTATGTAATGACTTTTTTGGAAAAAGGATTGACTCCACTAACTCCCTTCTAGATACATCCACATTTGTAATAATGTGTATTTTCGTAACACATTACACACATATAACAGGCGCTAAGTATTGAAGAACAATAACCTTTAAGAGAATCATGGATTCCGAATTTTCTCAGCTGAGTTCGATATTGGCAAATAAAAAGAGAAAAGAGGAAAGGAGAAAGAAAAGCGAAGCATATCGTTCGACAAAGATTAATCGCGACGCTTCCGTTTGGTGATATGACAAAAAAAGACGAGATATAGAGAAGCAGTGTCGAAGGACGAGTGGCGGAGAAATACGACGAGTAAGGAAAGGAAAAGTATGAGGCCTTCATCCGCAGGGGAACAATAAAACGACGCGGCCCGATAACACGGCCACTCGCCGTTCGTCCGTGGGACCTTTAAACGTGCGCGATTCGTTCTCCATCCTCTCGGCAGAGATCCTCTCATATTCTCTCTCGAGCGGCAGATAGAGCGAATAGAAAAAGAGTGCGCGATACGATGCGGGCCATACGCTACGACGACATCCGAAATCGATGACGCGGCTCGGTCGATTCTTTCTTAAAAGAAAGAGAAAAAGAAACAAGAGAGAGAGAGAGATGTTCTACGTAGCTTCTATCCAGCGCCACATCCTGGATACGTCACCATCCAACAGTACCACCTTTTAGATAACAAACCGCGGCCCGAAGCAACCGATAACACGCCGCGTCGTTTCACAAATTTTTTAAGACCCATCGTTTTTACCTCACGGTAAATTTTGTCGATGGGGCCGGGCGGCTACAGAATAGATCCCGACCGGGCGATCGTGTGGTGCCAAGGAATTTACGAGCGGATGCATGGATTTAGTGTCGCTGATACCACGCGGAAAACATGCGAAACAGCTTCGCGAAAATAGATTGTAACGTTTATTTTTTTTTACGATTACAAGCTGCGTAAAAATTTTACCCGAGTACCCATAGACATTATTTTATTCTTGTTTAACATTCGCTGAACAGCGGGGTAAAATGACCTGTAGAAAAATGCACACACTGTAAGCTATATAATATTACTTGTTTTATGTTCATCTATCCGCAAATCTGTCGAATTAAGGTTCACTCCACAGCACAAGCATCAAATTTATTCAAAACATGTTCGGAATATTAGTAAGTTTAATATTTCAATCAAGATTATTAAATTAAAATACATTTGATTTTACTATTATACATATATGATAAGGTCGCTTTTCTTCGATTAATTTTATTGAATATTCTTCAAAAGATGATAAATTCTTATTACTTTCAGACTACATAATAACAAGTTTTTCTCCAATTTGTAATAAATATATTTTAAGATTATTAATATTCTTTATTAAAGATAATTGTTATTTAAAAGAAAGAAAGTAAATTGAACATCAATCACACTTTTCTTGTCAATAAAATATTTATCTGCATGAGAGTGCATCTGGATGAAGTTTTTGAACGCGGCCCAGAATCAGTCTTGTGTGCGATAATGGGCGAAAATCACTCACCTTTCTCTACGCACTGTGGCACGCAGTCCCGCACTATCGATCCTTCGCTGACGTATTTCTGAAACAAATGAGAGAAATCGTTAGATCGACGTGAAACGACCGATAAAATGGCGTTGAGCATCAGTAATATGTAACGGCCGAAAGCGACGAGTATTGATAAATGTCGTCGTGCAATTTGCGGCTTTTTTTCTCGCACTACGCGCCACCGCAGAGCGACGAATATTTTATCCGCGGTGAAATGATACGTGCGTTCACGCGTGTCGCTCACACACGTACGGCCAATAAATCTCTCCACCAGTTATCGAGTGAGAAACAGGGCGAACGTTTCATCTGTCAATATTGTTTTGCGTGATTCAAAAAAGGGGGAAAAAGAACACGCGCCGTAACAAAATTCGAAATTTTTTCGACGAAGAATGAAATATAACGCTCGGCGTCTGTAACGAGAACGGAAATGAACGATGATAGTACGATTGCATGTTATATCGTAAATGCGCGAAATGTCTCGCCATGTGGTTCTTCGAACGATTTCACGCAGTGATGACTGATTGTGAGAGGAAATTTCGAAAATTCCTACGTGTTTCGGATGCGGATTATTCCGATTTCTGCATCGCTGCAGAGTGGTGCAGAGTGGTTCATATGTACGAGGCGGAGTTACGGGACGATCAGGAACGACAAGTACGTAGCTATGATCCTTCAGCAGGCCCTGATTGGTCAAACGGAAGTCCCTCGAAGCGGAGTATGTCATGTAGCACGGGATGATCGATACTCTGCGATTATAACGCCCCGAGGACGTCGTACATATTAAACCCTCCGACTGTTTCCTCTCCTCCCTCTCTCTCTCTCTCTCTCATATATACATTTGCTTCTCTGTCCTTCCTCCGTAGTTATTAAACTCCTTTTGCAGATCAAGAATTTCGCATTGACGCTATCATGGCGATTCTCTGACCGCCAAAATAACATGAGAATGAAAACGTTGATTGTCCAATATTCTTCTTTCCAGAACTTGGACGGCATTCCTTTATATCTCCTTCGTTTCTCTGAAACTCCCATCCGCAAAATCGATCGGTATTTCTCGTTTTGTTACGTGAGACGTGTACGAGATAGACGGACGAAAATAGTACAAAAGTATTCACCGATTATAATTTTATTTATAATTTCTAACGACCTCTTCCAAAGAGCGAACATGTTTACTTGTCTGTGTAAAATATGGATTTTGAGTGCCGGCAGAAAATTTGACGCGAATTTTATAAACTAGATTCAACGAACACACACAAATAAATCCTTAATGAAGTCGTTCACTGTGAAGAATTTACGAAATCGTACAACTTCGAAATAATGATGAACTTCGTATCGCCATCATCAATGTATTGCGATGAGTATAAGCATAATGAAAAGGGAATATTTTCAAAAAAAAAAAAAAAGGAAAAAGATATTATAAACGATATAAGAAAAAGAAATTAGTATTCAAATTTGTGTGTATAATCGCGGTTGAGATATAACCATAGAGAGGGAGAACAAATGCGTAATTACAAAATAATTTTGAGTGGTATTTACACGAAGGCTAAACGAAAGGTGTGGAAAGGGATTAACGAAAGTGAAAACCGCAATAATACATGTTAAAATCACGAAACTGTTTTAATTACCAGGGTTTAATTACGGCAATTTTCAAATAAGGGTGGACAGAAATTGTTTCGCACGTTCGTGCTGCTGTAAGCGGACTCGCAGGTGCGATCACCTATATCGATTTTCATCACGTAAATCTTACTCCCACATACGTGGCAAACTGCACATTGAAAAGACTTGTAGTCAGCGCGTATAATTAATTTAACCTTTTATACTGTTCTAATGAGCTGATCTCCTATAAGAAATGCATATATTATTCCCGAGGGATGGATTTACTCCTAAACGCCTCATCTGACAATTTCTTGTCCTTAGTCGGGATTATTGTCTGAATATGTTTAATTAAACGGGCCAAATAATTAACGAAGAGAGTCTTATTTTATCACAAAAAAATAATATTGTTTTTGACATACTTAAAAATCACGATAGGTTCAAACAATTTTTACACTTGAATAAGTAACGATAGATAAGATAACAGATAAACAAAGCAAACGTGACTTACATAGCGATTTATCTTTTTTCTTTTTCCCTAACTTTCAGCCATACGTTTAACTAGAGTTTTCTTCAAATTATAATTTGTTCGGTAACACCTCCACAACTTACCAAGAAAAATTTATGGAATAAATTCGTCTCTGCGTCGGAAGAATCTCCATTTCTTCTCTCGTGAATATTTAATCTGGAGATGCAAGTAAAGTAGAAAAAAGATGAGAGAGGAAGAGAGAGAGAGAGAGAGAGAAGTGAAAAAAATGTTAAATGACGGAAGCAGGCGACGTTATAAGCCAAGACGAAATATCTTCAGAAGAAAAATTCGCAAAGTTTTCTATTTCTCAAGAGTTAATTTTGTTGCTTTTTTTCTACGTGATTGCATAGAAGTAAATACACTTGATGGCGAAACACAATCCGATTGACTGCGATGTCAGTTTAGTACATTTTCCTATCTTCACGCAATAAGCTTTATATCGACCCAAATATACAGCACAGATTTGTGGTTTTCCGCGGTAAAATATGCATTATAGTAACCGCAAGAAATATCTACCACTTCCGATTTTAAAAATGCAGATCGTCGATCGATTTCCTTTGTTCGTCAACAATAGTATAAAGATAGGAGTAGAGATTAATAAATCCATGATCCAAAAGCTCCTCTTTTAACTCATTTATTTTATTAGGTTAGTTAGAAAGTCTTTTCGTATTTCTGCGTAAACCTTTTTGCAAAAATACGAAAAGACTTTATGACCAACCTGATAAAAATGTCATAAAACATGCTTTGTAAATTAAGAATTTATTTAATCCGCTTTTGCTCCGGATTCTTAATTTCATATAAAAATTACCAAGCTTAAGAGAAAGAGAGAGAGAGACACAGAGAGAATAAAATATTTGAGGGTTAAGTTAATAACCGAAAAACGCAAATAATAAGCGAATTGACCAAAGTAGAAAATATATAAAACAATAGCAAGCAGTAACAAATCCAAAATGTTGATTTACTTATGTCTTAGTTTTAAGTTTTTTTATGTACCATTGTTTTTAATTAATTATTCATCAATATTAAGGTTATGCCCCACACAAAAAATTTAAGCGATAATAAGACGTAAACAAATCAAAATATTTTGAAATTATTACTGCTTATCCTTTTTTTTATTATTATATTTTATTAATATTATTATCTTAAGCCGTAATCACGCACACTACAGAAATTACGGAATATAATAGATAATTGACAAAAATCGTAAATCACAATCTGCGCAATCGCTAGTGTGATTCCGTCTCTATTGCAATCGACTGATTTACTTACTGCTTACGTCTCCTCTTACTGTCTCGTGTTTTTTCGTGTCCCATATTTTTTATCAACATTATAATTGACGTATAAATTACTAAATATCAACAAGATATGATTGCTTGATAATCAAATGTATATAGCTATCTCTTAACTATCCATACTTCTCGTATATATATCAGAAAGAAGCTGTTCTCGAGTCCCGAGTAAAGACGTACGCGAGTTTCGATACCTGAGAACCTCGGAACGTTGTCTATCACTATTCCTTATCGCTTCCTACCGGCTTCAAGTCACAGCTTTAAGTGCTTCTCAGGTACTTGAAAGGCGATCGCACCCGTTTCTCGTCGACGGCCGCTTCTTGGAACCGGAAATTGAGAGTTGGCAATTGCATCGGCGGGCGCCCCGCTAGAGAACGAAGAGGATGTAGCTGGAAAAGTTCGTCGGAGCATCCGGTGTGCGAGAATTGTTTTCCTGCTTATCTCGCGCTCACCTCACGAACGAGTACCGACGTAACACCAACACGAAGCGTCATTTGAGGAAAGGAAGAAATTCAATGGAAATGAGAATCGAATTTCTCGAAAGCACTCTGCACCACAGTTTATGTTAAATTTCCATTTATATATAAGAGAAAATTGCTATATGAAAAAGATAGAATTATACACACATATATACATATATATGTATCATAATTAATTCTTGTTTAACGATTCTTTCTGGAACATTGCTAATTTTTGAACGCGCTTTTCTAGAAAAGTTTATATCTTTTCGTTAGATTTTTTATATATACATAATTTTTATAACAGTGGCAATTATAACCTCGCCATTCTTCGTTGATCGGAGTGAATTGACGATGCGAATGTCTCTCAAGTATCCACGTAACTCTTGTAAATTTCGCTTCCCGAAAATACGGAGTAACCGAATAATAGACGAGGCTATAACGACACGCGACAAGAGTACGAGCTACTTCACACGGGGTAAGTGCGAGTACCGCCGTTAGAAATTTACTTATGGGATAAGGTGATAAGTAGCGGCGCATTTATGTCTTGGATAACGAGCTGAGTGCTCGCTCCGTTGGCGCAATTTATCGACTTTATCGATCTGAGCCATCATGCATCAGGCGACTTTCTTGCCACTGTCGTCATTGTTTAGAAATAAACGATAAAACAATCTCTTTTTTACACTATAATTAAATTTACATCATTCACGGTGTTTACTCAACACTTTAATTAACCTCGCATTATCGACCTGTTTTTCTTTTTAAACGTACCGTCAATATTTGCGTATCAATAAACATAGATAGATTTCAAAACAATACAAAAAATTAAGTAAATACATCAAAGGCTATTAAGAGTCAACGCTGTTAGCAGTGCGCAAAATATGCAATCTTAAAATCTATAACATAGATACCATGTCGAACGTTTCGATCCTTAGTTTCGGATCATCATCAGCGACAAATACAATATAAAATTAAAAATTACTCAGAGTTGCAAACAATGATGTTGTCCCGCAGTATGTAATATACAACCAATCTGAGGTAAGACTATCACTTCTTCAGGTGAAAGTATGTACATTAGTTCAAAATTAAGTATGTCTCAAGTTGGTCGACAAAAGACATAAAATCAATTATATCACAGAAATCGCATTGATCAAATTTCATCGTCAATATGTCTGTATATGACGATGTACAACGATATAATGATAATTTTTTTATAGATAGATTTCATTATAATTATATTCATTTTCGGGCAATATATATGTATATATATATATATATAATATAAATTATATATATATTATATATCTATAGAATAACAAATCACATATTTATTCAACAAAATTTAATCTTTCGACCTATAAGCCTTTACACATCTATAAATATACATGTATATTATATTAGCACATTTACATACATATATAAGCTGTTATAAATTTCGGATACAAAATGTCCTGCCATTATTTAAGTAGCGGGATTAATTTTATATTTCGGGGATTATTTCCACAAAACGCGGGTATTATTCGCTTTAGGCGCGTTCGCAATTAATCCAGCTTCCATAATCCTACATCAAATTCTCTTCCTTGATGGTATTTGCGACAACATTGTGTTTCGATGCTTATTAATCGGCATCAAAGCAAATAGACATATCCGTAACGCGAGACTCGACCTACTTTGAAACTATTCATTAGAAAATCATCGCTCGCCTAATAACGCAGGCATAACGATGCGGCATTGTTGTGTTATATTACCACGAATATTGTGTTCTTTTAACGTCGAGGATTACGTAGCATAACTCTCAAGTAATAAATTACATTCGGTTACGCGCGTTATGACATTTTGGGAAAATGATGATACCACC